TCAGTCAGTCAGTCAGTCAGTCAGTCAGTCAGGCAGGCAAACAAACAAACAAACAAACAAACAAACAAACAAACAAACAAACAAAATATTCCTTCCTTCTATATTTCTATCCCTTCCTTCCTTCCTTCCTTCCTTCCTTCCTTCCTTCCTTCCTTCCTTCCTTTTTGGCCACCCCTCCCACAATGCCCTGGGAGGCTACCAAAGCCAGGCCTTCCCCATATAGTCTGCTGAGAAACCACTGCATTACAGAGGCTGGCAGCTGGTGAACTGAAAAAACCAACTCTGCCCAGAGGATGGCTATGTATGCAGCTTAGCTAGGCCTAGCTCCATCTAAGCTTCCTCTTCATGCCCCCGGGCTAGCTGGGAGCTTTCCTTCTCAACAGGAAGCTAGGTGGCACTCGCCCTAGCTAAACCTCCAGGCCTTTCAGTCTAGGCCTTTTCTCCAAAATGAGCTGCATTTAGGTGTCTGTTATTTCAGGTAGAACTCTAAGAATGGTAATAAGGGGATTTATAGAGGGAAAAAAAATCTGAACATCCCTGATCCTAGAAGCTCAGGGACCCGGAAGTTGCTGCTCTGGCAGTCAAAGCCCCTTAGAGTGCACATAAAAAAGGAACCTTACATTTGTTAGCATGGGGAGCTCAGCACCGTGTATTAGCTGAACACAAGGATATGATTCTCTATCTCTTTCTTTGTGTGTGTATCTGTTTGTGCTGAACAATAAAGAGAGGAGAACCCCTGCCGGAGCTGAATGGTCCAAAGTCCCAATGCAAAGTGGAGCGCGCCCTTCCTCCATATCGAAGCCTCTTGAAAATTCTTAGCTGGGGAAACTCGTTGATGCGTTTCCTTTTATCACAAGAGTAAAAGGTAGCGGCCAAGTTCTCAGTTGGGGGGCCAGTGCTAGACAGTGGGTTGTTAGCCCAAGCAGTGGAAAGAGCAGACAGTCCTTTCTGTGCCAGGAGGATGCTCAGGCATTTGTCTGTGTGCCTGCATCCGGAAATGAAAGATGGCACATGAGAGAACATGGCTTTATGTATTTATGCATTTATTCTACTGGCTAGA